AAAAAAAAACTAAGTACATAGTAACCAAAAAAAGACTTCAGAAGAAAAAACAGAGAGTTTTAAAATTACATCTTGTGGGTTACGCAGCATAAATTCCTATCCTTGGTTTAGTCTATATCGGTGGTTCTCCACAAGGGCCAGTGGTTTACCAGTGTCTGGAGACAGATTTGGTTGTCACAGCTCAGGGGATGAGTACTGGCATATCCTGGGAAGAGCCCAGTGGTGGTGCTCAACATCTCACAAGGCACAGGACAACCCCTCAAAACAAAGAATTATGTGGTCCAAATGTCAGTAGTGCCACAGTTGAGAAACCTTGCAATAAACAAAGCACAATTCCCATCCCCACTCCCGCCACCAAATTCAGTGGCAGAGAATCCTAAAAGGAAGTTCAACGAGGAAAACAAAAAGAAGATATTTATTTCTTATGCACTGTTCAATATAAACCCTCCACCAAATTTCATAGCTTTGTTATATTCTATATCAGTGAGATTCCGAGTTGATTTTGCCCGCCTATAAGGCATTTGATAATATCTGGGGACGTTTTTGGTTGTCCTACTGAGGCGGCAGGATCGCTACTGGCAAATAGTGGGTTGAGGTCAGGGATAAAGATAATGCACAGGACAGCTCCCTGAAAGAATGGATTTTTCAGTCCCAAGTGTGTATGGCATTGAGGTCAAGAAACTGTGGTTTATATCGACCAATAAAGTTTTTGTGAGTGAATGACTTCTTAGAACCTCAAAGAAATGCATCCAGATTGGAACAGTGTGAAAGCAGGGCACTGAAGAGGCACTGACACAGGAGACAAAGTATGAGGATTCAGCTGACCTCAGACTTATTCCTATAAAATACTGAGCGATGGTGATTCTCATTCAGTAGGTACTCAACAAATATTATATATCCCCTCCACCCTGCCTTTCCCATCAGCCATTATATAATGCTTGCTCACAATTCTGGTAGCTGTAACTCACATTGTTTCCCCACTTGGAATGGCCTTTCTCCTTCCCCTCTGCCAGGTCAAATCAGGTTCATCATTCTGGGTCCAGCCAAAGTGCCACATCCTCCCCAAGATTCTACCTGTCCTCCTCCATTTCAAAACTTCTATAGCTCTCATTATCTACCAATAATGTTGACATCTGTAGTATACTAGTTTGCATTCCTACAGAGACAATTTTTAAAAATTCAAATCAATCAGGAGAAATTACACTATCAAATATTTAAATACATTATAAAAATATAAGTTGAAACAGCTTTATCCTTTATGATTGACAAAGGAGAGAAGTGCCCAGCACTAAATCTGAATAAAAAACTATATACAGTAAAGGTAGAATTTTCAAATTAGTGAAGAAAAAAAAAGTCTATTCCAAAACAAATTTAAAAATTAAAAAATACAAAATGCATACATACATATGTACCGGGACACTTGATTAACCATAAAACTCCTATTTAAAAATCTCCACTAGATTCTTGCTTTTTATAAAAAATAAAGGAACTCGAAGCTCATGAAGGAAAATCATTTCTGATACCAAAGTGGAAAAAAAATGTAAAGCTACAAGCAAGCAGAAAATTTAAAGGTAAATATTAATAGGTTAAACCATGTAAAATGAAATATCAAAAATACCATAAAAGACAAAGGAAACACCAGAAAAATAATTTTAAATATATAACACAATCATATTTATTTATATTTAATACATAGATATTTTTACTAAAAAAATAAAGAATTAATTCCAAAATAGACATGTGGACAGAAATGTAAAAGGCAATTCACCAAATGGACAAACAAGTGAACAATAAATGTGAAAAATGCTTAAATTCTTTATGATCAAAGCAATGAAAGTTAAACCAATTACATAACTTATTTCTTTAGAAAACTGGGCAGTTATTAGGAAAAAAACTGGAAATAGCTGAATACTAGTAAGGATGCAGGGAAATAAATATTGGTAAATTATAATTTGTTAAAATTACATTCCTTGGAAGGATAGCTGAGATTATACATCACACCTGCATGTGTTTAACAGACTTTGACCCAGAAATGCCACTTCTGGACATTTACCCTAAGCAGACAATCATATATACATACCAAGCTATATATATAAAGCTATTTATCATAGGATACTTAACGAAATTTTAGGGGGAAAACAGCCTCAACATTCAATGATAGGTTACTACTCAAATAAATTGCAGCATATCTATTGCTGATTTGAAATGGAAAAAAATATGTTCTTAAAGAATATTTAAAACTATAAGGGAATTTAGCTTACAAAATTATCTTTTGTTTTTAGAAAATTACATTGGTCCATACATCTATACAGAAAAAAAAAACAGGTGAGATAGACACACATAGACACACATTAATGACAGCCATAGTTTTCTACATTATGGAATTATAGGTGTTTTTAATCTATATTATTTAAAATTTATACAGAATATCACTTATTATGATAAAAATTATGTTAGACATAATTTTTCAATAAGTATTTCAAAAGTAACTT